CAAAATATTCGATCTAACAGAATTCATAGTTTGAAATATCTAAGGTCTACAACATTTGGTTCCAAAGATATAGTGATTAGAAAATCAGAGTTTGTGTCAAAGACTCAATTCCTTTATTTCCATAAAGAGATATTAAGCGTAATTTCAAGTTCCCCTCTATGCAATGATGACAATAACATCGAATGAAGGAAAGAGAAGTTTTAGCCTTCTAAAGAGAATACTTCATTACACAAGATGTACTATGACGGAAAGAAGATGCCTAAACAGTCAGTAAACTTTTACTTCGGTTACTTCAGTAAAGTTCACTCACACAAAACTGGACCTGGTTATAATAAAAAATATATATATTATGAGTTAATTTCGAATCCTTTGAACAAGTTTTCTAAAAACATTGAGATTTTAATTTCTGGCTGGAACAATACCAATGAAAAACAAATACAGGAATCCTAGTGCTCAATTGTTAAACTGTCTTTGAACAATGCAAGGTTTCTAAAAACATTGAGATTTTAATTTCTGGCTGGAACAATACCAATGAAAAACAAATACAGGAATCCTAGTACTCAATTGTTAAACTGTCTTTGAACAAGGTTTCTAAAAACATTGAGATTTTAATTTCTGGCTGGAACAAGTCCAATGAAAAACAAATACAGGAATCCCGGTACTCAAGAATGTTAACCTGTCTTTGGACAAGGTTTCTGAAAATGGGACAAGTCCAGTGAAAAAGAAATACAAGAATACATAGTTACGGATAAATATCATTTTTTTACACTATTAAATATTAAATCAAGGAATTGAGTCTTGTCACAAACTAAGATTTGTAAAATCAGACAACCTAGTGTTAATAAAATAAACTAAACTATAGAATATAGATTTTATATTACTATGCAAGAGTCATATGTCTAAACCAGTAAGTTTCATTAATCAATTCCATAAGATTTTAAAAATAATTCTGAACATCAATGTAAATATATTTAATAAACATCTAAATCAAGAAGAAAATATTAAATAAATAATCTAATTTGTGAAGTTTACATAACAAAGGTGTTAAGTTCCACAACATGTGAATCTTCCTTGTAGTAGGTAGCCGGGGAATACTCCCCTTCCCTCTGATAAATCTGAACCTCGAAAATAAACATTTTAAAGTCCCGAATTCGAGCTCTGATTCTAATACACAGTTTATACAGGGTGTCCCAATAAACATTTGAATTAGCAAAGCTTTAAAGTTTAAACTTAGTTTGTTTATGTTTTGGTTGCATACTCTTGTACTTAAAGGGTCAAAATTCAAAATTGTTTCTATTCTTGATTAAATAATTATGTATAAGGTCTAAAAAATAATTGTATTTTGGCCGAAAAAGGTTGGCCATTTTTTATGTCTGTTTTATTTTTGGTTATTATATTATTATATTATTAATACCACAGCGTAAAAAATCTAGTATACTATATTTTTATATATATATATATATATATTGGAATTA